GTCATCCCATATCTACCTTGAACATGGAGATATAGACGCAAATGCTGAAGTTCAGGTGCTAGCAATGGATATGCGAAACGACATTGCCACTACGCTTGTTGCTGTCGTATGCGCCACTATAGGCTCTCTCTACTGGAAATACGCTGATCCTGTCGGAGGCATCCTCGTTTGGTTGGTGTTCTTTTAGCTTCAGGAACGGTAGTGCTGACCTACGGCGCAAGATCGAGATGATCCGCATTGTTCAACAACTCATTCATGAGACATGGCATGTTGCCACAAACGCGTTGCGATGAACTCGTTCATACGTCCGCTTTCTGAGCTGTTACCTGTTCATGAGTGAAAACCAACGGCCAAAAAGGGGTCCCGTTTTGCGTTTTCTTGACGGATTTCTCCGCTTTTTTCGCTACCACTGAGCACCACCAGTCTCCTACAAACCCTTCTTGAACCTATCGCAATCACTGCCTTGGAAGGAATCGTTTCAGAAACTTTTCGAATTCTTTCCCAACATGAATATGTCAGCTGTGATCACTGGAGACAACGTACTACAAAGTTTCACGCAGGAAGATTCAGTTTCCAAAAAGAAACAAACCAACGAAAACCACAGACGATGTGGACGGTCGCCGGTAGACCGGGCGGAGCCAAATGGGACGCATAAGTAGAACTGCGTCTCGGAGTGTATCTTTATCGAACTACCAGTTTGAAGTGTTCAAGATTGGAGAATAGAGACAAACGATTGACGAATTATTGAGATACAATAGAAAAAAGAAATGCTCTCACCATAGATGAAAAAAACTCAAAAAGATTTCTAGTGAGGGCACTCTGAGAACCAAGTGGTTCCCTTCGCCAACATTTGTGACAGATGTCCGGCGGGAATTTGAACGCGTAACAGTCCTTCTTCGGTTTTTCGAATTGTTTACCAAAACAAACACATTTTTTTGTTCTTTTCGTTGTATAGTGATGGTGAATAATAGGTCCAAGCTGGTGATACATGGATGAGACAGAATCATGATTTTTCCGTGTACGATTCCTTCAAGAGCGTCCTCACATCTGCAAAAACAAAATTATTATAAAAAAACATTGACACCATTCTCTTGGGTGAGCTAGAATGAAAGGGGACGAATAAGGTTACATTGACGTCATTTAATCTGGTACTCCTGCTCACTTGTAAGTGTGGCCAGGAATCAGGCTGATGTGACAGGCAATACTCAAAATACTGCGCAATATGAAAGAGTTTCAGTGCCATGATCGTGGTTTCTTGGTTCCGGTACGCTGCAAGACATATACCAACGCTGGTTGGAGTTCGAGCTAAGAAGGATCATCTTGCACGAGTCTTGAAAATCGCTATCGAACACGATCCTCAAATACGGTAGGTGGAGAAATGAGTAAGGAACCACCACGTTTTCAGAGGTATTTGATACGACGAATGGGAAGCAGACAGAAGAAGAGAGAATATGCCTGCAAGAAAGGCAATCTGGGCTCCCAGGGATATGAGTGGAGGCACTTTCGCGACGAGGAGTGCCTGTAGCTACATAACAAGTTCTTGTCCATCCTTTTGGACGCCTTGTCCTTCTGACTCGCTACAGACAAGCTACCCGCGATGGTGCTCCCACCATCGAACCATAGCGGTTTA